CCCATTTAAATTCCTTTGTCACAAAGTCTCCCCCTGAGTGAGTCAAATCCTGTTATAAGTCCTCCCGGCTACATGTACCATCACACAGCATGCAGTGTCATTACCTGTTCACATCCATATGGGATCAATTAATTAATGCCTGTCTCCCCAGCAAGACTATAATAAGCCTCAGGAAGGAAGACAGGGGACAGTTGTGGTTTTGCTTACCATTTATTTCAGTGCCCAGCAGTGCCTGGCACATAGTAAGCACTCAGCATATATTTTCAAACAAATGTATAAGTAATTACACAATAAAATGTTCTCCCTCTCTTCCCTTTCATATATAACCTCTACCTAGACTCAGATTTACCTAAGGAATCTGGGTAAGCAGGGATTAGATAGTAAAAACATTGCATACCTGTTTCCTCTGTTGCCTTTTATAGGTTAGACTGTTTTGGTGTTTTGTTTTGTTTTTCATTTTGATCTCCATTTCCTTGCTACTGATTCCTATGGTACCTTGACAACAACACTGATTTCATTTTTATTAAAAAAAAATTTCAACTAGATTATATATCTGTTGTTGCTGTTGCTATGTGCCGTCAAGTCAGTTCCGACTCAGCAAGTCAGTTCCGAGGAGCAGCTGGTAAGCTTGAACCACCAACCTTGCAGTCTAGCATATTAACCCACAGAGTCACACCAGGAGGTATTCTAAATTGCTAGTAAAATTATTTTTGTACCTACAGCTATTCTTTTTAAAGTTCTTGTCTTTTATTAAAACTAGACACTCCATGGTGCTTCTGGGTGGCAAACCCCAAAAAATGCTGAAGCCTGTAACAACTAGCTGAAAGACTGGTAGTTTGAAACCACCTAGTTGTGCCTAGGAAGACAGGCTTAGCCATCTGCTTCTAAAAGGTCACAGCCTTGAAACCCTATGGAGCAGTTCTACCTCTCATACATGGAGCTGGGGGACACTCTGGGTGGGGACTGACTTGATAACAACAAGACACAATGTAACAAAGAGCACAATATCTTACTTTGTCAACCTAATTCCCTAAGGTATTGTGGTAGACGTGACTGGATCCCTGACAACCAGAGACCACACTTCACACAGGCATCCCATGATTATCCTATTAGTGCAGATTAACCTGGTATTTACTTCCTCCTTTCTGACCCTCTTTGGGCAACAGAGGCAATCAAAGTGGTAACAAAAAACCCAGTGTTGGTAAAAACCACACTAAACCACTATACATAATTGCTAGATAAAGAGGTCATGTCCTATGAGGATCTTAATTCTATCAATTGCTATTTATATATATCATTATATGGCAGTGAGTCCTTGACCAAGTTTTCAAAGAGCCCAGAATTCCATCTATTTCTGTAATTTGTTTGATTCATTCCATGCATTAATTTGTTTGATTAAAACTACTAAAAAAAGTCAAACTATAAACCTTCCATGAAGGCAATTTGACCATGCTAGAAATAGCTTGGGAACTTTACACTAAAAAATGCTGAGCTTTGGTGTCAGATGTTCCCCATCTGGCTTTTACAGCTAGCTGTACCTATGCTGGTGTTTAATTCTAATATTCCCAGAACTGGTTCCACAGCAATAGCACTAACATTTGTATAGGGCTTCACTGTGGACAAGGAATTTATTACCTCATTTCATCATTGTCCAAGTCTGGGGAGGTATACATACAAGACTTAAAGCAAATCTGGCAGGAGCATGGTTGTCAGGTGAAGGAAGTCAGTGGACAATGGCAGCATTCTAGGGCAGCACCTCAGTTAGATCATCACATTGAGGGACATTACTCATAGCTAGAGGGCCTGAAAGACCCAGACCTGAAAAACCTGACCCACACTGAAAGGAACATGAGCCACCACAGTGCCAATGATATGAATTCATATTGGGTGTCTTAGTTCTCTAGTGCTGCTGTTAACAGAAATATCACAAGTGGGAGACTTTAACAAACAAAGTTATTCACCTAAATTTTAGGAGGTTAGAAGTCTGAATTCTGGGCTCCAGTCCTGGAGGAAGGCTTTCTCTGTTGGCTGTGTGGGAAGGTCCTGGACTTCTTTCAACATCTACAGACTGTGTTCCTTGAAGATTGCATCTTGGCATCCATCTTCCCTTGGACCTAGGAGGTTCTCAGCACAGGGACCTTGAGTCCAAAGCAAGGCGTCACTGACAGATCTTTTCTTGTGGTAGTGAGGCCCCTTCCTCCTCTTCTCTCTTATAAAAGGTGATGCAGGCCAGGGAAACTCCCCTAGTATAAAACCAGAGCTGGGAACTCAGTAACGTGTTATATCCCACCTTAACTCTGCTACACTTGATTGGCTGGTCATGTCCATCACATCATGAGGGATGACTATTTCATTACATAACTGTCAAATGATCCAACTGTCAAACCTCTGAGAATCATGGCCCTGCCATATTAACACATACTTTGGGGGGACACAATTCAACCCACAATTCAATCCCATCCTGGGATCAGGATATTTTCAGGATGCACGGTTAGTACCTTCCGTCCATTAGGACAGTGGTTCCATTTTTTTCTGTATCCACATCACATCAATAGCACGTCATTGTGATAGGTGCTTACCTGCTAACTGAAAGGTCAGTGGTTCAAGCCCACCAGCCACTCTGTGGGAGAAAGATGTAGCCGCCTGTTTCTGTGAAGATTTACAGCTGTGAAAACCCTACGGGGAAGTTCTAGTTTGTCCTTTAGCATCACTATGAGTCAGAATGGATTTGATGGCAGTGGGTTTGACTTTTTAGGTTATATATAGAAACACTGATCCAAGATATAATTAGTTTTGCTATCTTAGAATCAAAATAAGCAAAAGTAGACAATTATAAAATATCAGGAATCCTAGACAGATTAATGATATTAATCAACGGCCTCTGATAGTACCAGAAGACTAGGTTACAATGTCCAAGATAAAAGCCAGAATGATGAAGCCCTGAAATTGACTCCGTTTTTCCCCTAAAAACGGTGCTTGAAATGGACACTAACAACGTTCATGTACCACCCCTCCTGGCTGACTGGGGATAGCTAATGATCTATCACATATCTACCTAGTAAGCAAGTTATAGCCAGTATATATTGTGATTGAATTCCCAGTGGAGCATAATGAGATATATGCTAATCTACACACTTAACAGGTGAGAGAACTGGGACTCCCAGGGAATTTCTAATCAGTCTAATAGCAGGCCATCAGCAAATGGCAGAGGTCTGTACATTCTTGCTTAGGAACCACTGCTCAATGTACCCAGTCTTTGTCCAGATATACTGTCCATATAACATAACTCCCCAAAAGTAATGTTATTTCTCTCATTTCCTGATTTTAGTTAGGGATATCATTCTAGATGCTGAATTTCTAAAACAATGGCCACCTTACAGGTGAAGAGACCCAAGTACAGAGAAGTTCATGTTTCTTTCAGAGTCACATCCCCAGCTGAGGTGAGCCTGGTACTAGATTCAGTCTCTAAGTTCTAGAATAGAACTCTTCCCACCAGGCCACACAGCCCTTCAGCTTTTACACTTACCACAGTTTTATACCTTGTCCTTGCTCAGACAGGCTCCAGTGCCTCAGTCCAAACTGTTACAAGATCAATATGGGTCTCCTAATTCTAAACCTATGGAGGAAAATACTTCTATCTGAAAAAAAAAAAAAACAACTATGATTCTTTCTAGAAGAGTAGCAGTTAGCGTTTTAGAAAAGGATGGTAACTGAAAGAAAGAAACGGGGAACTGTTTGCAGTTGTATAAAACTCTCAAGCATTTGCATTAACTGAATGACCCACAAAATCTCAGCTGAAAAAAAAAAAGTTTGTCTTGCTCATGTCATACTTCCATGTAGGTGAGCTGGGGTGAAGGAGAAGACACACTGAGGGCAGGTTTGTCCCACACTGTCATTTAGGGACCCAGGCTTTATACATAGTCTGCCAAAAGACCCATGGTAGTGGTGAGGGGGAGGGAGTGAAAAACCTCCGATACAGTGGCTTTGCCATTCGCTAAGGCCTGTGGTCCTCCATGGGTTCCTCTCCGTCTGGCAGGCAGACGAGTCGCTTGGGAATCTTAGAAATGATTTGCAACACTTTTCTCTATACTTCATTGACTACAAACTAACAGCTTAGGCCTCATCTAAATGCAGGGAAGACTAGGAAATGTAATCTTTCTGGGGGCCCAAGAGGAAATGGAATAGGGGTTTGATAAACACACAGCATTGTCTCTGCTACATTGTTGAACACATATTTATTAGATGGTACCAATGATAACACAAACACCATCAAATGTGATGATGCTAAATGCTACAAACAGCCAGTGATCTAATGGCACAAATACTAAATGACACGATGATGCTAAAATTATTTTTTTTAAAAAACTACCAAATTAGTAAAAATAAAGAAATCTGTAAAAATGTAAATGGTATAAAAAATGATATAAATCCTAAATGACACAATGAGGCAAATACTAAGTGATATTATATTATATAACCCAAACACCAAACAACTGCTGCTGGATCAAGCATGTTTCTGATCTTAAGGCTGAGAGGAAGAAGTCCCTGATTTAAGACAACTGCACAGAAATGGCTACAATTCACTCTCCGCTTGACCCCTAAGAGATTGGCCAGAGGAGATGAAAAGATGGGATGCAGATGGTGCTGGACACTGTACTGACGCAGAATCCCCGATCAGCTGAGATGAGAAGGCAGCACAGGGTCTTCTGAGCTTATACTAAAGCTTTGTGGCACAGTTCTGCCAGACCTGTTTTTGAAATCATCTAACTCCAAAGCATCTTCTTTTATCCGCCTGTCACTCATAAAATAATTCAACCAGCTGACTAACATGATGTCAGATCCTTGATTCTGGGGGCAAGATTAGGCCTCTCTGAGGAGGGCATAAGGCTTGATGGTGAAACAGAATGCCAAGACTAGAACTCACGATACACAGTTAGGCTGTGAGTCCAGATCCTAACACAAACCACATTGGTATTACTCTGAGTCCTATAAACAGGTGGTTAAATGCCAAAAAGGACTTTGAGGTCAGCCAGAGTGAGCTTGGTGACAGATTCTCCTGAGCCTGACAGGACCTGTTTGGCCAGATCTTTCTTTCTATCTTGGAGCTGCATTATCTTCTCCTCCACTGTTCTCTCACAAACAAACCTAAAAAACAAACACGCAAATAATTAAAAAAATAAATAAATCCAAGGCAGTGTATCTTATATTCAAACTTTACTATGTTTTAGTTTTGCTTTTTTTCTATTGTGAATTGAGTGAAGGTTTACAGACAAGATCATCAGCTTTACATTCATCAAATCACAGACTTTGATTCATGTGAATGATTGCAATCTCCTCCCTGTTTCTTCCTTGTGGTTACCCATCTACAAAGATCCTCTTTCAAACTCTTATGTATTAGTGGGATATATGGTGGTGGGGATGTGCTGTGGAGATGCTTCAGTTTTTAATGAGATGTCTTCTGTTACTTAGATTTTCTTAGGTTCAGTTAAGAACCCCATGTTTAGGGAATTCAAACAATCTCCCTGATGGCACTGTAGGATAAGCACTGGACTGCTAACTGCAAGGACAGCAGTTCAAACCCACCAGCCACTCAGCAGGAGAAAAGATGAGGCTCTCCGCTCCCGTAAGGATTTGCAGCCTTGGAAACCCAATCTAAGGTTGCTATGAATCAGAATCAACTCGATGGCAAGGAGTTTGTGTTTACATGTTTATTTAAATTGCTGTGACTCTAATTAGCTTTTTTATTTCTTTCTGAAGCTACAGAAAAGGGCCATAATAATCAAAAGCTATTTCTTATTCAAAAAAGTACACCTACTCCACACTCACTGTCTCATTATCTGACATTTCACATTTACAACCACAGTAAAAAAAAATTTAGAATCTGTATCTTGCCCATTAATGACGTACATCTGGAAGTAACAAATGCTGAGGTGCAAGGCAAGACTAATGCTGGCTCTGATGATTACGGTTCTGTGTCAGTTTGGCTGGACCATGATTCCCAGTGGCTCCACAGTTATGCAGTGATGAAATTTGATATTTACATAATGATGTAGTTTGGTAGTTATGTACTGATGAAACCTGGCAGTTAGGCAATGATGTAGTCATCCTCCCATTTTTGAAAAACACTGGCTTTTGCTTAATGACCTGGTCTTTGAAACCTAATCACATCTTATAGTGAAGACTGTATATAGGTCCAGCTTTCATCCCCAAAGCTCCACGCCCATAAGGAGGCCTCAAAGCTTATCTTTCCTTTAGGATGTAGAGTTCTGGTTGACGCACACTGTTCTTATTCCATGTCTAACTCACACTGAAAACAGGTTTCTCAAACTGAGAAGACACCACCGCTGTTATGGATTGACCCATTCAACATGTACTTATTAAGCAGTTATGCTATGTCCTGGAGTATACTAGGTGTGGGGGGATGGAAAGATGAATATAATCTTGCCCTCAAAGAGACAGCAGGAGAGACAGACATGGAAATAAATAAGCAATAAATAGTACAGCCCAGTAAGTGCTATAATGAAGCACGTTCAAAGAGCAATAGGATTAAAAGCCTGTCTGTTCCAGCTCTCAGAATATTTGTGAAGACAGAAAAATGCATCCCCATCAGTGTCGGATCCTATTAATTCTATCCCTTTTAGCTAAATGCATTCCTCTTTGACATAAGTTTCAGAAGATACAGCTAGCTACACTGCAAGCCCGCTGCAGGGCAGGCTTATCATTCATTCCTCCGGTGCCTAGAGTTGAGTTTTATATATGGTAGAGATACAGGGAGATTTTTTAATGGGATGTGGATTTGTGATGTCTGTTTTGATGTTTTTATTATGTCTACTTTCTGCTTTATGGGGCCTGCTAGTCTCATTGCAGGTGTTCTTCTTTCTAAACATAAAGTTCCATAGAGTTACTTTTTTTCAGCTCAGAACCTAAAAATCATCTTCTGCCACTCACTCAGCAAAGATCTATTGAACACCTACAATATAGCAGTCCAATTTCATTCTCCAGAAACTCAAAATGTCACAAATTGAATTTGTTTCTTTTATCGCCTCAAATCTGTGTATTCTCTGTATCCTTTGTTTGAATTTGTTTCTTTCATCATCTCAAATCCGTTTATTCTCTGTATCCTTTGTGTTTATGCCTAGTATCACTGTTACATCTCATCACATAGCCAGGAACTGGGCTCCTTCCTCTTTCTCACTTTCCACATTTCAAGACCTTCTTCTTTCAAGTCCTTATCATTTTGCACCTGTATCTTTAAGAAGCCCTGTTCACGGACTCCTGTCCTAAAATCATATCAGATTCTGACTCCCATATATAGAAAAACAGAGATATACCCAGAATCGTTAGGGAAGGCTCCATTGAAGAGTAATTGAGTGAGTGAGCTCTCCTAGTGTGGCCTTGGAGTTTTCCAAGGTGCAACAGTAGGAAGGGCCTTTCTGAGAACGGGAACATGTGTAAACCATGGATGAGTCTTAGAGCATTCTGTGTTGGAAGAAAATCAGCCATCCAGTAGTGGGTGAAAGTCAGAAGGACTCAAGCATATTCCACTACACTGGCAAAAGTTCAACAGGCTAGCAGGGGACAGATCATGAGTGGATTTGCATAACATTTAGATTTTAACCTATAGGAAGTGAGAATTACTCAGAAATCTGAGGAGTGGAATGTCAGATTTATTAGTTGAAAGAACCCTCTGGTGGTGACACACAGAAGGACAAGCAAGGTGTGAAATGAAAAGACCTTGAAAGAAGAAAGTGGCAATGGAGAATGGAAAAGAAGTAATGGTTATGAGAGACATTTAGAACATAAAACTAAAGGTCTTGGAATATGCAAAGTGTGAAAGAGGGAGGAGCCCAGTTCCTGGTTAAGCAACTGGAGAGAGGAACAAGGATACTAGTCATAAACACAAAGGATACAGAACATCACAGATTTGAGGTGATGAAAGAAACGAATTCAGTTTGTGACATTTTGAGTTCCTGAATCACAAAATAGGCCAACTATGTAGTGGGTGTTCAATAGATATTTGCTGAATGAGTTGCAGAAGGTGAATGAACAATGACTGAGTATGTGAACACTCAGATTCAGGTATATAGCAGGGGTTTGGAGATTTTAGACTAAAGTTTAGGAAACCCTGAAACCAAGATACAGATTTTGAATTTAATGGAATGACTAGGATTATTAAGGGAGGGACATACAGAATAAAGTGAGAAGACAAAGGAGAACTAACATGATCCCTGTACTTGGCAAATTTTGGAAATTGTTGGTGTTAACAAAAGCAATTTCAATAAAGTAATCAGGGTAAAAGCCAGTTTGCATAGATTGAGAAAGCAATTGGAGATAAGCAAGTAAACATAGACTGTGATTGCTCATTCTTAGGAACCTTGACCATGAAAAGGAAGGAGAACAATAGGGCCATTGCTAGATTGAGTTAGAGTGTTAAGGTAGGTTTTTACTGTTTTTGAAGTAAGAAGAGTCCTAAATAGAAGGACGTTCTACAAAACAACTAGCCTATACTCTTCAAAAAGATTAGTGCTATAAAACAAAAAGAAAAACAGAGATACTTCCTGTCCTAGATTAAAGGACATTAGAGTCACGACAATGGGATGCTACATAGAATCTGAAATTTTCTTTTGCTACGAAGGACAAATTCCTTCATACCATTCCTTACCATTTACTGGGTAAATTGACAACATCAGAATAAGGTCTATAGATTGGATAACAGTATTAACATTCTGATTTTGATAATATTTCTACAGCTATCTAAAAGAATGTCTTGAATTTCAAGTTACTCAGCCTAAGATACAGCTCAAGATTATACACAACCTTGTTTTCATTAGAAGGAGCGAACTCTAAGATGACCCCCAAACTATTTTCATGACCATCCTGTGGCTAAAGAGAGTATGTCTCATTTGGAAAAGTGGACACCAAATACTTTACACATTGTACTAAAACACTACCCAAGAAAGAGTTGTGAAGGCAGAAGTTGGGAAGGACCCTGGGAGAACTTTACTCACCTGTGTATGACTACATCTTTCTGCTGTCCTACTCGGTAAATTCGGTCACAGGCTTGATCTTCAAGTGATGGATTCCTATTAGAAGAGGTTAAAGCTCAAAGGTATTTGTATCTAAGACCTGGGGTTGGCAAACCATGGTCTACAGGCCAAATCTAGTCTGTAGCCTATTTCTGTATGACATGTGAGCTAACAATGGTTGTTACATTTTTAAGAGGTGGTAAAGAAAAAACAAAGACTATGCAACAGAGACCTATATCACCTGCAAACCTAAAAGATTTACAATCTGGCCCAAATATATTTATAAAAAAAGTCTATCAACCATTGTCTTATGCTACACTGGCCTAAGAAAGATTAGTGTCAGGCACCTTCTTGTCCTCTAGTGAGAAACCATTCAGATTGCTAATGGTAATTCAGTTCAATTATCATTTCCTACAATAACCAGGGTGACCCTATGCTTGAATCCAGAAACTAAAGCATCTGGATGACTTTGGCAAGTCATTTAACCTCCACCCTTTAGGTTTCACATTCCTACTTAAAAAAAGAAAGGGCTAGCAAAAGGATCTTAAATATATTATTCAACTTTTCACCTGTAGCACGGTGGCTCTGTGGGATAAGCACTGGACTGTGAACCACAAAGTTGGCAGTTCTAGCTCACTAGACACTCCGTGGGAGAAAGATGCGGCTTTCTGCTCCCACAAAGATTGACAGCTTCAGAAACCCTACACAGAGTCACTAAGACTCAGAATCGACTCGAAGGCACTTAACAACATGATTCCATTGGTTTCTTTCTTCAAAAATTCTTATTATTGACTCAAATTAGATTTTTGGTTTACCTCTTTAAAATACTGGGTAATGTTTCTCCAGTTCAGAAAATAGCATACTTCTTAGCATACATTCCCAGCATGCTTTCCTCAATGATTTTCTCCAAAGTTAATGACAGTTTGGCTTCTTACTTAGACCCAATCTGGGTTGCCTGTGGAGACTTAGACAAACAAAAATCTCCAGCCATAGTGCCATCCTTGAGTGGTATAATTGGAAAACTAAAAACTGGGATTGAGATTTTCTCCTAGCAACACACTCACTCATTCTTCTTGTATCCAGGAAAGACACTGTTATGCTCCTGGAGTTAACTGATGCTACTTGCACCAAGTCCAGAGGCTATATATGAAGTTTATTTCTAACATGATTAGAACATTGATTGGGCTTTCAAAAATTTTTTCTTGCTTAGGAATAAGGCTTCCCCTTAGTCTCCAAGGCTGACATTTTCTTGGACCTCAACAAATATTTCTGGGATGTCGCATCCCAGTGAAGAGGTAAAACTGAGAGGTGTTAAGCTCTTTGCCAAGAGGAAAAGCTCTGTATGCAGTTTCCATGGAAACAGATGTTCAAATAACAATAAAATGGACTATTTTAAGTCTTGCTTGCTCAAGGATTCAGGGAAGTCAGCTACCTCGGCACTCTATTTAGATCTGTAGCTATATATGTTCATGCAGAACCATCTCTAAATTAAAAAAAAAAAAAAAAGGGTACCCTCAACATTTAAGTCCATCCCTACTACTCCTCTGGACCCCTGCTTTCCATTCTATGTCATTACAACTCAAGAAAAGTCCAGAATAGTTACCAGTGCATGTCAAGAAGAAAAAGATGGTTTCCTCCAGTCAAATTTAGACCAACACCTCCAGCCAAGAGAGAGATCAGCATCACCTTCAAAGGGAAGCATACCATTAATTTTATATGAACTTGATCTCATTAAGCATCTCTTCTTCTGTCTCAGGTTCTGGTCCAAATAAGCAATGACTTCCTATTTGCTTTCCTTCTGCTGTCATTATAAAACATTGCTTTTTTTACAATTTGTGTTAATTGTATTAAACCTTAATATACTATGTCCCATGCCTCATCTTTGAAAAACTTCACACTTCACTTTTTTTGTGAGTCAACTTCAAAAACACTAATGTGTGTCTACCAAAACAGATGAACACTACTGTTTAAGCCTTGGAGTTCTGATATGAATTAACGATCCATCAGCCAGGTTACATCTATCCCATCAGTCCTCCTCCTCCTATTGCTATAATGACTCTTTTGCCTACCACTCATCAATGCTCTCCAAATTTCTACTATATATATTGCTACGTTCTTCCATTTATTTCCTTATATCCAAAGCCCATCCACCTTCAAGGCTCATCTCAAATGTTGCCTCCTCCACAAAGATTCCCTGGATCCTACCAGTTCTGATCTCATTTTTTTTTTTTTTTAGTATTTATATTTTATTCTCTAGTATATGTATACTTTGATATGTGTTCCAATAAATTATCCAGGCTGGAAATATTTTAAAATTAAGTTGCTATATTATGACTTTTTATCAAGAGACTTGAGAACAATTTGCTCTTCATCACTTGTTACCAGCTCGTACCTGCGGACCCCTGGGATTATTGTTGAATGCCTCAACCAAGTCCATCCTCTGTTTGGGGTTGACAGAGCCATCAATGGTGGCATACGTCAATCCATGCTTCCTAAGGTGCAATGCTACGACTTTCAGCATGGTGGCCCACTGAGAAACAATGACACTGGAAGGAAGAAATGCAAAAAACAGATTCGACTTGGTCATCTCCAAGAATGAAAGACTTTTCAGTTGTCAAATGTAATCAAGGAAAAAAGGCATTCAATTACCTAAGAGAAAATGGCACATATTTAGGTGAGATTATAATACATCCAGTTATTTCTAGATTCATTCTACAGTGTTTTCGGTTTTTTTGTTGCTTGTTTGTTCTTTATCAGACTTTATCAAATCAGAATGCAGGCCAAACCAAAATAACAACTGCAGTCTTCTATTACTGGGGGACCTTGTGCTCACTCAGAGATCTGTGGCCATGAGGAAAAGGGACAGAGGCCACCTTCCCTTTAGATCCATAGCCATGTTTTAACATTTCATATATCCAAATGCAGATGCATAACCCCGTCTCTCCTTAGCATCTGTCATTCCGCTGCTTTTCTTTATGCATCACTACTTTTAAATGTTTCTTCAGATGCTTAGCTTACCCTGAACCGCTGGAGATTTCCTTCCATTATCCACCACAAAATTGGAATGAGAATTCATAAGGAATTTGCGTTCTGACCTTAGGGCTTTCTGCTGGGCACGACTCAAGATCCTTGATCTAAATGAGCTTTGCCACTATCAGCAATGTCTTAGTTACCCAGTACTGCTATAACTCAAACTCCACCAGTGGTGGCTTTAACAAACCGAAATTATTTCAGAGTTCAGGGAGCTAGAAGTCCAAATTCGGGGCATGAGTTCTGGGGAAAAGTTTTCCCTTTCTGTCAGCTGTGGAGGAAGGTTCTGAATGATTTTCATGTGGCTTCGCATCTATCTTTCCCCATGCTTGCTTACTTAACTTGTTGGTTTCAGTTAGAAACTACCAGCTGTTCCATGGGAGAAAGATGAGGCTTTTTGCTCCTGTAAAGATTTGCAGCCTCGGAAACCCTGTGCAGGGTCACATGAATCAGAACTGACTCCATGGTACTTAACAACAACAACAATGTCTCCAAAGAGATTGATTCAAACACACTCTTTGCTAACTCTGTACCAATATAACAAAGACGACCCATTCCCAAGTGGGACTATAACCACAGGCCTAGAGGTTAGAATTCATAACACACGTGTAGTTTTGGTGAGGGACACAATTCAATCCATAAGCATTATTACGTTTCCTTAATTACACTCAATACTTGGAAAATGCAACAGCACATTTACCTCTTCTGGGACTCTGAATTTTTTCGGATTCTCTCCAATTCTGCCAACAGGGATGATATCTGAGAGAATGGTACATAACATGTGTGGGTTTAAGCAAATTCTCTTTTCGCCATCTCTCTACCCCAAATTACTGTAGCAGTCTCCTAGAGGGCCTCTCTGCTTCTAGTGTTACCCTCTCTACTCCAGTCACTGTCAGCCAGAGGGCGATTTCCGGGCTATTTCTAGAATGCATGGTTGTCCTTCCTCTAAGTTCCCTGAGGACAAAGTCCAGACTCCTCAATATGTCCAACCAGGTCCTTGCTGCTCTAACTTATGCCTACTTCTCTCAACTCCTTTCTCACTTGTCTCCTCAAACTTGATTGCTCTAGTCATACTGAAAGTCTTCCTCCAGTAAGCCATGCTTTCTCTCATCTTTGTCCATTCTGTCCCTTCTGCCTAGAACACCAATACATGACAACTTAAAGTCACTTCTTCTTAGAGGGCCTTCCCAACCTCCACAGTAGAGGTGAGGCATGAGTGCCCACGGCCTACATGCCACCACAGAACCTTTTGTTTCTACTGCTATGGTTCTCATTACACTTCATATTAACAGCTTGCACTTGTTTTCATAGCTTGAGATGCTTCAAGAAGGCAGAAATAGCATAGGTCTAGTTGATGACTCTCTCCCTAGAACCTAGCATGGTGCTAGAACAGAGAAGATCCTGCCCTAATATTCATAGAAGGGACAAAGCAAAAGGGCTTTGCCCTCTGGAACGTCTGCTCCAAACATTTCTAGAAAGGGACCTTTCCAGACTGAGAAACACTTGCTAAAGTTTCCCAACAAGCTCTCTGGGTATTTACCAAAGAGCCTCACCTCAGATATATGGCACAGTATCTGGCCTCTGTTGCTATCCCTTAAAGCTTTCCCAAAACAAATTGCTGTCTTACTTAGCAGACACTTGGTATGTTCCTTTCCCAGTTAGCCTCTGACAGAAAATCTGTCGTGCTGTGGGGGCTAGGCTAAACTGCTCTCGGAAAGCCCACCTTATCCTAAGACTTCAGTTTATTTGTGAAGTAACATGAGGCTTTAAAACTAGAGGGATAATTTGACCAGCAAAAATCTAATAGTTCTCACTGTGTCATCAGATAACCACACCAGCTTGGAAACATGAGGCTCTCTCACACAGGAACATGTGCATGGAATCCATGTCTCCACTACGCTCGAGGTGACAAAAAAATACCTTAGTGCTCTCTCGTGTGTCTTTGAAAAGGTCCACCTTGAAGGATGCGCCATTAAGGCAAACCATGGAAGACGGCTCTGGGCTGTGGAGTTCAGACAGGGTCAATGCACTGAGCTGCTCTTCCAGGGAAAGGACGAGGCCTTCGCTCTTCAGTTCGGTTGGGTCCAGGGCCTGGGCACAGTCAAGAGCAGGTGGGAAGTTAAGGCCACAAGTCATATTACTTGCCAATGAAGCGCTGACTGTATAACACTTTATACAACAAACTGCTCTGTAATTTATCATCAATAAACCTGCAGAGAAACCTAATTAAAATATAATTTTACAAGTTATTTTTTTAAATTGGACTAAAGAGAAACCTTTGGATAAACTTTATAAAGACTTCAGACAGACTACATGATCTTCTATTATTCCCAGTTGAAACAATGCAATCAATTAAGCTATTATACATTACTATTGTTGTTAAGTGCCGTGGAGTCGGTTCCAACTCATATCGACCCTGATTAGGGTTTCCAAGGAGCAGCTGGTGAACAAAGTCAGCCTTGAACCTCTGACTTTGCAGCTTGCACTCTAGGTTTATCCTACAGTGCCATACCAGGACTCCAAGGGTGATCCCGCTGGTATTTAAATACCAGTGGCATAGCTTCCAACATCACACAACACCACACATGCCACCACAATTCGACAGAGTGACAGGTAAGTGGCGGATTCCAACTTATAGTGTTTCTGAAACTGTCAATATTTAGGAGAACAGAAAGCTTCATTTTTCTCCTGCAGAGCAGCTGGTGGGTTTGAACTGCCAACCTTGCGGTTCACAGTCCAGCGCTGCCACTAGTGTCCCTTTCACCCGATATCAGGGCACTTAAATATAGGTGTGGCACTGTAGGATCAGCACTAGATTGTGAACCACATGTGCTCCTTGGAAATCCAATACAGGGTCACTGTGAGTCGGAACCAATTAGACAGCACTTAACAACAATAAATACATAAAGCAAACACTAATATCATTGAAAGCAGAAATATGAGAGGTCTTTAAAAAGTTCATGGAAAAAATCCCGTTATCTTTCTTTCTTTATTTATTTTTAAGGTTTTTATTGTGGATTGAGTGAAAGTTTTCAGGGCACATCATCGGTTTCACATTCAAACATTGATTATAATCCCCTCCACATACCATCAGTTAACAGAGTTTCTCTCTATCCTCTTTAGCTTTTTTTTGGGAAAAACTTTGCCTTTTTGGAATTTACAGTCTCGGCTTTTAGGGAAGGTTTTTACATTTATCTGTGGCTATCCAGGGCTCATGTATGGAGTTACTAATCAGCATATCTGAATAATCATATAAGGGACAGTTTGCTATGTCTGCTAGGTGGCTAAAGTCTGATCCTCAGAGCCTATAGTTTGGATGGTCAGCAACGCTTGGGCCCACAGGGACATGAACTCCTGATCGGATCTGCATAGTCTGCATCCCGTTATCTTTTAATTCCCATTTCTCCATGAACTTTTTTTGTCCCCCTCAGCGATAGTAATGTAATATAGTTGAAGATGTCAACTCTTCATTACTGGATAGAACACCTAGAAAGAAGATAAGGAAATACTGGACCTCAGTGACACTATAAAGCAATTAGAATTCACAGACATATATAGAACATGTCACCCAAAACACAACAGTGTCCACCCCTCTCCAATGCCCGTGCCTCAGTCTCCATGATAGGCCATATTGTAGATCACACAACAAATCTCGATACACTTAAAAAGACTGAAGTCATACAAAGCATTTTCTCTGACCACAGTGAAATAAAGCCAGACATCAATAACAAGAAAAACAAATCTGGAACACATACAAACATAAGGAAATTGAACAACAGAGTAGGAAACTACCAATGGGTCAAGGAAGAAATCAAAAGAGAAATCACAAATGTCTTAGAGGCCAAAGAAAACGAAAGCACAATATACCAAACCTTATGGGATGCTGCAAAGGCGGTGCTCAGTGAGAAACTTACAATAAACGCCCACATTAACAAAAAGATCTAAAATGAGCAGCATAACTGAACTAGAGAGAGAAGAGCAAACTAAGCCTAAACCTACCAGAAGAAAGGAAATAACAAAGATTATAGATACATAAAATAGAAAATGGGAACATGAGAGAGAAAACCAACAGAACCACAAGATGGTTATTTGAAAAGATCAATAAAATTGACAAACCTTTAGTTACACTGACAAAGAGAAGAAAAAAATGCAAATAACCAAAATAAGAAATGAAAGTGGTAACATTACAACTGATCCAACAGGAAAAAAAGAGAATTATGACAGAACATTATGCCAATACACTGATAACCTAGATGAAAAGGACAAAATCCTAGAAGCACAAAATCTATCCAAACTGACTGAACAGACCCATGGTGAAGGGATCAAATCAGTGAACAAAAACCTCCCAACAACAGCAGCAAAAGCCTAGACCAGACGGCTTTATTGGGAAATTCCACCAAATACAAGAGAAGACTTGACAATACTGCGTAAACTTTTACAAAAGACAGAGAAAGGAGGACACTTCCTAATTTAGTCTATGAAGCAAACATAGCCTTGATACCCAAACCAGACCAAGATGCCACAGAAAAAATGGAAAACCACAGGCCACAATCTCTTACGAATATAGAGGCAAAAACCCTCAACAAAATAGTAGCAAACAGAATCCAACAGCATATAACAAGTTACATACCACCACCAAGTGGGATTTATTCTGGAACGCAAGCATGGTTCATCATTAGAAAAGCAATCAACATAATACACCACATCAATAGAATGGGGAATAACCACATGATCATCTCTGTGGATGCAGAAAAAAACATTTGATAAAATCTACTGCTTCTTGATGAAAACCAAAAAGATTATTTTAAAAGGGAAATTTCTCAGTATGATTCAGGGCATATCTGAAAAGCCAACAGCACCATTAATGGAAAAAGATAAGAACTTTTCTCTTGAAATTGAAAGCAATATAAGAGTGCCCATTCTCATCACTTGTATTTAATACTGTATTAGAAGTCCAAGTCAGAACAATATGAGAAGAAAAAGAAATAAAAGGGATCTAGATTGGAAAAGAAAAAAACTAATTTAAATTTATCTTTATTCACAAATGATCCTATATAAAGTAAATCTCTAAGGCTCCACAAGAAAAATCCTAGATCTAATCACAACAAATCACATAATTAAGCAAAGATGCAAGGTAAAGGCCAACAAACAAAAATCTGTTGGGTTTATACACACACATCAGCAATGATACATATGAAAAAGAAAATTAAGGAAACAATTTCATTTACAAAAGCATCTAAAGGATAAAATACTTAGGAATAAATCAAACCAAGCAGGGTTGTGAAAGGACAACTGCAATGGAAATTATAAAACACTCATAAAAGAGATAAAAGAAGACTTAAATAAATGGAAAGATGTTCCATGTCCATGGATTGGAAAATTTAATATGGCTGTCAATATCAGTCAAAGTCATCTACACATTCATCACAATCCTGATCAAAATTCCAACAGCCTCTTTAAAGAAATAGAAAAACCAATATTCAACTTTATATGGAAAAGCAACTTTATATGGAAAAACAATGCTAACAGAAAAAAACAAAGAGACTCACACTTCCTGATTTTAAAATATATTACAACAACTACATTGATTAAAACAGCCTGGTACTGGTACTAACAGAATACAATCGAGAATTCAGAAGTAAACCCATACATTAATGGTTAACTGATTTTTGACAAGGGAATTAAGTCCATTTAATGGGGAAAGAAGAGTCTCTTTAATAAATGGTGTTTGGAAATAGGATTTCCACACGCAGAAAAATTAAACAGGATCCTTGCATCAACTATTCACAAAAACAAATTCAAAACAGACTAGGGAACTAAACGTGCAAACTAAAACCATGAAATTCTTAGATGATCAATCAAAGGCAATGTCGTAAGGTGTAGCTTTCAACTGTGGATCATCTGACATGATAATAAAAGTACACATAGCAAAAGGCAAAAATAAGTAAATGGGCTTTCATAAAACAAAAACTATTGTTAAATACAACAAAAACTAAAGTCAAAAGACTTTACCAAAAAAGTGAAAAAAAACAACCAAACAAAAAAACCTATCACTAGGAGAATATCTTTGGAAGCCATGCATCTCACAATAGTCTAGTAACAAACATATTGTCAGGAGGGACCAGTCACTGGAGAAGGATATCATATTTGGCAAGGTGGAGGGTCAGAGAAAAAGAGGAAGACCCCCAGTGAGATGGATTGGCAAAGTGACTGCATCAATGGGCTCAAGCGTGGCAACAATTGTGAGGTTGGTCCAGGACCGGGCAGTGTTTCGCTCTGTTGTGCTACAGTCGGTACCGAATCGATGGCACCTAACAACAACAAATATATATATATTATATAAATAAATTATATACATATCAAGGAGCTCTGGTAGCATAATGGTTATGAATCGGGCTGTGAGCCGCAAGGTCAGCAGTTTGAAACTACCAGTTGTTCCGCGGGAGAAAGATGAGGCGTTCTGCTCCCGTAAAGATTTACAGCCTCGAAAACCCTGTACAGGGTTGCTATGGGTCGGAACCGACTCGACGGCACATAAGAACAACATATATGTATATATATACACATATATACATATATGTATATATATACATATA